GAGAGATTAGGGTTTGAAATTGGCCATTAGAGAGAGAGAGAGAGAGAGAGAGAGAGAGAGAGTGGTGGGATTGGAATAACAAGGGCAAATAAGATAAACAAAGAGTCAAATTCTCTCTGATATATGTTTAGGGACCTTAGACATCAAAAAATAAGTTTGTGGATCTCTTCCATTACGAAAAGTGGGAGAGGGACGCTAGACTAATTTTCCCATAATTATATACATGCTCCTATAAGTGCTACCAACCTAAGAAACTTTTATATATGCCCTTGCTCCTCAGCTCCTGCCCCCATCCCCACCCTGGCTTTCTGCAACTGAGTTCCCAGCTGCTAATTCAGGCTTTACTCAGTTAGGTTAGCCAGGAAACAGCTTGGCAAAGGGGGAATTCCTATTTTTACTATTTTCAGGGGCTTCCCTGATTATCAATCCAGCATATTGCTCTTATCTTTTGGATTCATTAATGTATATTGTAAAAAAGAAAAAAGAAAAAAGAAAAAAAGTTACATTAATTTTAATGATGTCATGAAACTTAATGCCGTTGATTAGAAGTAATTTTAGAAGTAGCCATTTGGAGTTGGAACTATATGCATGATGTGACTTTGCTTTGTACTCACTTCAACTGTAATGTTTCTTTGGAATGTGCATCATCAGCTCATCTGTATACTGTAATAGTAAAGATGAGTACTACTCTTCTTTTGACCTAATTCTCTTTTTCTTTGTCTGCAGATCTCAAAAGTGTGGGAGCTTCCAGTCTCAATTCTTCTAAAACTCACTATCCCTCAGACTTCTCCTTCTTAATGGAACAGATTCTATCGATCTGCCAACATTGTTCTTTGCCCGCTTGCCCTTCTATACTCTTGTAACTCATTCATGCCACTAAATCATCCCATCAGTTTTCTCCTTCCGAATTCCCATTTTCCTCTCTGGCTAGTAGTACTCTTTGCATGCTCCTCTCTAGCAGTTCTTCACTACGCAGTCCAAAAAGAGCCCCCAAAAACCGAGGAAATGCCCGTGGTGCTCATAGCATTTGTGATGAGTGTATTTTGGATCTCTGTCATGGCCGGGGAACTCCTAAACTGCCTTGCAGCTCTTGGGGCACTTCTTAAGTTGCCTCCTGCGCTACTTGGGCTGACAGTACTTGCATGGGGAAACTCAGTGGGTGATCTTGTTGCTGATGTGGCAGTTGCTAAAGCAGGCCAGCCAGCGCTGGCCATGGCTGGTTGCTTTGCCGGGCCTATGTTTAACATGCTTTTTGGGCTTGGCACGGCTTTGGTAATACAGACTGCCAATGTGTATCCAAAAGCTTACGAACTCCATTTCCATGTCAGTATTGTGGTTGCGTTTGTGTTCTTGCTTCTAAGCCTGATGGGTTCTCTATTAGTAATAACTTGGTATAGGTTTCGGGTACCTAGATTTTGGGGATTTTGCCTTGTTGGTCTCTATGTTTCTTTTATAGCAGTGAGCTTAGTTATTGCCAAGTTTACTCTGTGATTTTTTCCACATGCCTGGAGAGCATTTTGTCTGATAATTGCTGAACCAGCAATGGTGATCACGGGAAGAGTACATGGCAAATTCAGTGTTTTGGGTTATATCTGCTCATGAAATGCTTATATCATTCATCATAAGAAGATAGTTTGCTGTATCTACTATGGTTTGTCTGAGAAAGAAAGTGTTGATCTTCCCTTGTCTGCCCAAAACTGAGGTCATGGATACATCCCATTTTCAGTTTGAAGACATGGAGCATACATCTTGTATCATTTTTTTATTCTTTTAAAAAATATACTCCTGTTCAGTTTTCCTGTTTTATTCACACGGGGCGAGATATTTATTATTTAGCTAGAATCACCAAATATTAAGAGATTTAATTTGTCATGGACATCTTGTAGTCATGGCAAGAAGATTTAGCATTTTATATTTGACCGGTCTATTTTCATGATTTTGTTACACTATATGGAAATTTTACTGGTTTTTGTAGGCATTCTGAGCTGATTGCTCATTAAAATCTGATTTTGATTGAGAAGTGAATGCCTTTCCTAGTTTCTGTGATATAGTGAACCCTCGTTAGACCAAGCTTTTGCGTGCAGTCATGATTCCCCCTCCTTTCTCCCCGAATCGTTGTACTTATGATAACTGGTCCTTGCTCGAGCTGGCATAAGAATGACAATCTGCTGGGCTTTGTCATGACCAATCTTTGAAGTGTGTTTGTATTCCCAGTCAAACTAGAAGAATGCATTATGTCAATTTATTAAAATTCTTAGTTAATACTATTTTTTTTTTATTGGTTTGGATATTAATTATCGAACAAAAATCAATGATTCAGATATCAATTATTAAAAAAAGAAAAAGAAAAAGAAAGAAAAACCAGTTCTATTTAATACCCACACAAACAAAATGGTGTGAACTAAAAAAAAGATTGGTATGCAAATAGGTCCCTACTTCTCATTTTAATTGAAGGAAGAGAGGTATATCAACGTTAAAGTAGATAACCAATTGGGTTAGGTCATTTGATCAGTCATGTACATTGTCAATTGAATTTTAAGTGATTAATTATTGCCATAGATAAAAATTAATTACTTGCTTTCTTTCATAGCACTTTTATTTAGTTGTTTATTTCTTTCTTATTATCGGTTCTTTCTTATATTAGTTGTTGGTATTATTATTACAAAAATAATAATATTAAATTAGATAATTAATTTTATTAAAAAATTCAACAAGACAAATGGTAAGTCTATATGGTTAAGATTTGTTTGTCGAAGCGAGAAATCTGGTGTTGTAAGAGAAGGGGTATTGGGTCAAAATAATAAACAGGTTGAGTTAATGTTGAAATAATTCTGACACAAATCTAAAATAACACAACCCAACATGATACAATGCCCACCCTTAATGGATAAAATGTTTGAATTAATGGTCATGGACAAAATTTTCAGAGCATTTTCTTATGCTGAAGCACTCTTTATTGCATAATAAGGGACACCAAAATACAATCAGTTTAGAGCTGTAATCTAAATTGGAACTTTCACAAGTCTCCTACTTTTCTGATATGTTATTTTGTGGGTAATGGTGATTGGATATTAAATTGAATGGGAAAGTGAATTAATGTTGCATTTGCTATTTGAATGGAAGTTATTATTTTATATTAGTGCTATTCAATTTTATTAAAGGTATTTTTTTAGTTCAATCACATAAAATTAGCACAATTTCAAAAAAAAAAAAAAAAGATAACAAGGCATTTTTAAAAATGCCACGGTTGGAATTTTTTTAAATTAAAAAAACCTATGACGGCATTTTAAAAGCGTCGCTAAAGTCAGAGTTGACGTCACAGTATCGTTAGGATAGGACATTTGGCGGCGTTTATAGAGCGACGTTTTCCAAATGTTATAAAGCTATAGCAACAGCCGCATTGTCGGCATTTGGTACTAAACGTCACAAAAAGAATTAGTGACGTTTTTTACACTTATAGCGGCGTTTTTTAAACGCTGCTAAATGTGTATTTTCTAGCAGTGCTTGAAGTAACCAAGCCAACTCAACAATATAGGCAACTTAGCAGTTTGCCTAAGCTGCACCAATAATTTCCTTCTTGCCAAAGGCCCCAACTGTCCAAGGCCCTAGAGCCTAAGGCTTCATTTTGATGCTTGGCCTAGGGCTCAAAAAACCTTAGGCAACTACTATGAAGTAAACCACCAATTCATCAAGCTTTGTAAGTTTCCTGGAAAACTTGCATGACTGATTACACAATAACAACAAATGAACTGTTGTTTCAACCTCTGAATCAAAAAAACAAAAATCTCTTACTACTAACAGACAATGGTAAAACTTGCATGGCTGATTACACAGTAATAACAAATGAACTGTTGTTTCAATCTCTGAAAAAAAAAAAAAAAAAACTCTACTGCTACTAGCAGACAATGGTAAGATATGTTAATTAATTAAAAGATCCTTTGTAGAAGTGCTTGCCAACAAAAAATTTGGATCCTTGGAGGAGCTAGACTTGTCTCGATTGTCCTTATAGGGTCGAAGCGCAATCCCAAAGCTCTCCTCATAACAGATGCAAAAAGAGTTTACTAAAAATTAATAGCCCATTCTTTTCACCTTTTCAGTGAATACCATCCTCCTTATGAATGTCTATTTCACATTGTCTAAAATTCTCTGCGGTTCTTTTAAACAATCCTCCTCCCATACAAATAGCTGTTTCCTAAATTCCAATCTCCACCTCTTACTTTCATAGTCATGAATAAACACTCCAGCTACACTGTCAAGTTTTCCATTGAAAGTGAAAAATAACCTAGGAAAATTTTGCATTAATGATTTGTCACCAGCCCAAATATTAGTCCAAAACTTCCAATTTAATCCATCTCCTATCGTCAACAGCATATTACTCATATATTCTCTGGTAACCATAACTTTTCATCTCCGATGTACTACTTATAAATTTTAATATCTTCAGTACTAATAATACTTTCTTTTCTTTCCCAAACGTCCACCACCATTTTGACAGTAAGGCAAAAATTTTTATTCTGATGCCACCACTAGCCCCAAAACTCCATTATAGTAGAAATCTTTTTCCAATTCACCAAGTGAACTTTCCTTTTTTCAGAACAAAGGAAAGTTACGGTTTGTTAATCAAATGATTGACATGCAGAAGTAATGTGGATGATCAGAGTTAAGCTTTTATCAAGGTTGAAGTAGATGAAGCATTAACAACAAAAACAAAGCCAATTAAATCTGCTGTTGAAACAATATTAGCAACATTATCGGTTATCATAGTAAAGAAAACGACCACATCACTCCACAATAACAGATACATACTTCTTAATTATGTTATAGAACACCAAATGTTCTTTTTTTAAAAGGCAAAATAAAATATTTTATTGACGAATAATGTAGTACAAGCAGTACAACGAAATTATATCAATAAAAGATGCACATTCCAACTAGAACGACATATGCATCAAGCAAAACATAAACCAAACTCAGGCCAAGCCAAACAAACTTGGCAAGACAACAACACCAAACAACCCTTGTAAAGACAAGGTGAATCACCAAACAAAATCAACCCCACTCCAACAGCAAGCCACAACACACAGCAAAAAGAACACAACTACAAAGAAGAAAATTCCAGCAATTCCAAACAACACTCGAGCAACTCTAACCATCATTCAAGACAACAAAGAAGCACCACCATAAAGCTCAGAAAACTCCTAACCATACAAATTTGACGGCAAAAATCCGACACAACTACAAAGAAGAAAATTCCAGCAATTCCAAACAACACTCGAGCAACTCTAACCATCTCTCAAGACAACAATGAGGCACCACCATACAGCTCAGAAAACTCCAAACTGCACGAATTTGACAGCAAAAATCCGTCAGCAACACCACAACCACAACACTAAAACCAAAAATCATTCACCACCTCAACACTAGATGTTCTGTCTAAACTCTTTGCATATATCCACAAGCTAATTAAAGTTGTTGGTTGCCTAAAGAAATCTTCATCTCATACACATGAAATTACAAAGCTAAACATTCACCATGTCCTCCTTGATGGAAAGCAAGCAAGCATGCAAGATAGATGATTGGGGCACTTGTCTTTTTGTTAATCAAGTGCTCGTCGCTATGTTTAGTTCTTCATACTCTTTAGCAAGCTAGAAACCTGGAAAGCACCAACAGGGGGTTGGTTCAGTGGATAAGACCTTCGAATCCCTCGCTCAAGGCTTGGGTTCGAGTCTCCATAGCCCCTTGTTGGGGTTAAACATACTCCTTAGCGCCTAAGCTTCGGCCCCGACGTAGGTGCGGTGGGGTTCCCTGCAGATATGTTGTAGGTGCTAAGGGGCAATACTCCCTGGCGGATATGTTGGAGTAGCCTATCTGCATATCCATTTTAAGAATCAAAAAAAAAAAAAAAAAGAAACCTAGAAAGCAAAATTGAAAAGCAGAGAAGATCAGAAAAAACAAAAATTTAATAAACTAAAATTATAAAACATAAAAACTAGTGGATTTGGGGAAACAAAACTGATGCAACCCCAAAAAAATTCAGGATTGAAATTGTAGAAATTTAGGTAAATTACAAATACACTCCTTGAGGTTTACTTAAAGACACGAATTGCTCCTTATGATTTTGAAAATTATATTCCGCTCGTTCAAGTTTTTAATATTATAACAAATGACCCCTTTCATTAATAAATCATCAAGCCAATTAAAAATTTCTAATGATGTCAAAAATATACTTCAATTAATAATTCAAATAATTTTATTATTGTATAAAAAAGTAATTAGAAATTTTATTTTTTCTATTAATTATAATAAAAAAAATGAAAATAAGAAAAAATCTATTTTAAGCAAATCTCATAGATGTATTTATAATTTATCCTAAAAATGTTAACCACGTGGTTGAAGAGATGCAAAGAGCAATTTTACCTTCACGCTAGAATTAGGGGCAGACAATTCCTTACGCTGAGAGATTTAGGGAAGGGATTTGAAAAGGGAAAGGAAAAATGTGTGTGAAATAAGGTGAAATATAGGTATATTTTATTCACATTTCACCTATATTTTCCTTTTCTTTTTCCAAAGCTCTTCTCAAATCTTCTAATCAAACACAACATTAGTAAACAATGAGAACAAGTAACAAACTACCCCCCAAGGCTTCCGTTTCTTCTTGTCTATTTTTATTTTCATTTTTTATTTTGGAAATTGGAAGGCATTACTTGTTTACCATATTGTTTTTGTTTTTAAATAAAAATAATGTTAATTCTAAAATTTTCAAAATTTTTGAAAATGGATCCTCCAATAATATACATCTACAAAAAAAATGTATATAATATACAAGTTATGATACTTTGTGATAGTCATTTTGTAGTGTTTTAATACCAAAATGTGTCATAGCAAAATTACTTTTAGTCATAACTAAAGAAACCAAAATAAATCATAACCAAACGTCATTTGAGTTATAAGCAAAGACTTCTTTAGTCATAACTAAAATAACAATCATAATAGTTTATAACTAAATTGTAATCAATACCATAATAAGTTATGGTCAATCAAGTCATCACCAATATCACAATAAGTTATAATCAAACATCACTACACTTATACGTATACCCAAAGATTTCTTTGATTATAAGCAAAAATAATAATTATAATAAGTCATAATTAATCCATAACCAACCACGATGAGTTAAGCCAATACTAGAATTAGTTATAATCAAATAACACAAAGCTATATATGGTATATATATTTTAAAGTGTGTATTATAGAATGTGCAGATATAAGCAGATATACTTTCAAAGTAAAAAGTATCATAAAAAAAATAAAATAAAAAAGTGTGTCGTTGCACCTGTGGAACGAGATAATAGTTCGTATTTCAGTTCAACTGGTGTCTGCCTCCAATGGTGTATGCTCGGAATATGCCGAACCTTTTGGTGATCCTTGCTCCCTTCTCCACGTATGCATTCTATGAGCTCATTCGTAACAAATGTCAAAAACAATCCTTGGAGATCTTCGAGATACTCGATGCCATGAGGCAGTATCTTCAACTGCATACATTTCCGAATAGAAAATTCTTGGAGACCTGGCATCACCCCCCTCTCTATAACAATCTCATTTAACTGAGGAAAATTGCACAACTCCAATTTTCTAAGTTTATGGAACCCTTCACTAAAGCATAATTGTCCTCCTCCTTCATATGCATTAAAAAGGTGCAACCGTCCCAAATTCGGAAGTGCTTGAATGTATGGAATAGGGTCTTCTGTTAGTCTAGACCATCGCAATGATAAAAAAGTAAGGTTTTGAAGTGAGTGAAACCAACAAGGCACTTTCTCCAATTTTCCAGCTAAAATGAGCACCTTCAGGTGGCGAGGAGGAGTTGAGGAGAGTGCATCCATTCGGAGGTATTCATCCTCATCAATCACCTTCACAGACAAGCGATGAAGGAGACTCATATTTTGGATTGCAGTACACAAGTCCTCCTCGTCTACTTCTCTCACCTTTGTGATTCCAATCCTTTTAAGTTGTGTCATGTTCTTGATTCGCTTCATCAAGTCTGCTTGTGCTTCTACACCTGCCAAAACTTGCATGTTTTTTAGCTTGCAAATATTAGATGGTGTTGTCGTACCACGAACAAACTGAAAGTCATCCAAAAGTTCATAGTCAAAGTGGTACATCTTTAGATGTCGCAAATTTCTCAACTCTGTGATTCCAGCTGGAAGCACTTCTATTTTGGAGTCAGTAATGTCTAGAGTGTTTAGGTTGCACAGTCTTCCAATGGATTTTGGAAGTTCCTTCACCCTAGATCCTCTCAAGTTCAAGTATCTTAAATTGAACAGATCCGCTAGTTCTTCGGGCAGTACTTCGATCCATGCATTCTCAAGATCCAATACTCTTAACAATCGTAATTCTAGTGGCAATGCTATCTCCCCAACAACAAATACAAGAAGAGTCCGAAGCTTCAACATGCCCTTCCAGTTCCATGGTTGTAATTCTCTACCAATTGATTGAATTGACATGCGACGATTTGTTACACTTCCTTCTTCATCATTTGCCTCTCGCCCATCATATACAACACAAAACTTCTCCGTTTCTGATGTGGAAATTGCAAGCTCACGCATAAGATCATGCATCTTACAATTTTTTGGCCTTCCTAATTCATTTCTCATTACGACTTGAAGCATGCTTCGGCAAATAAGCTCCATAAGGTAGCTTTCTGCTACCTCCTCTGGTGTTCTCCCTCTCACCTTTTCTACGAACCCCTCTGCCATCCAAAGTCTAATGAGCCTCTTTCGTTTAATCTTATAATCTTCCGGGAAAAGACAACAATATAAGAAGCAACACTTTAGTCGGTATGGCAAATCATTGAAGCTAAGCAACAAAATTGTTTTCACAACTTCTAGCCCAGGGTTGTTGCTCAATTCCCAGCTCAAGCTGTTATAAATTTTTCTCCATTCCAACTCGAGATATTTAGAAGGCATGACACCCCCCAAAGCTACAATTGCAAGAGGAAGCCCTTTACATTTTGCAACAAGGTCTTGAGCTAAGGTTTTGAGATGTTGAGGACAACATCTATTTGGATTGCTTGAAAAAGCTTTCATACAAAAGAGGTTCCATGCATCACTTACACCCAACAATTTGATATAATGGACATAACTTTTTACCCCAAAAGAAGATGAAGCTATCTCTTCATTTCGGGTTGTAAGTATGACCCGACTTCCTAGTCCTTCATCAAGAAGTGATACATGTATATCCCTCCAGAGGTTGCTACTCCATACATCATCAAAGACAATTACGTACCTTTTCAACCGTCCTAGTCCTTCATCAAGAAGTGATACATGTATATCCCTCCAGAGGTTGCTACTCCATACATCATCAAAGACAATTACGTACCTTTTCAACCGTAAGAAGTCCGTAATCATCTGTATGAGCTCTCTATAGCTCATACTGCTTAAATCCATTGGAATTGCTTCCTTGGCACCACCATAGAATTCCTTAATCATGCTTCTAAGTAAGTCGTTGACTACATATGTTTGGGAGACAGTTATCCATGCATAGCAATCAAATTGTCTCTTGACAATTTGGCTGTTGTAGGCCTGGGCAACCAGAGTGGTCTTACCTGAACCACCCATCCCCACCACTGAAATAACTGTGCGTTGTGATTCTTTTTTGTCCGTCAACCAGTCCAATAATTGTTTCTTTCCATCTTCGATCCCGACTAGATCATCATCTTTAAAAAATAGAGAAGACTCGCTGAGGTTTGGCAGCCGCCTCTGATGGTCTTGGGAGCTTGAGCTTGAGCTTGAGCTTGCTTCTCCTACACCATCGACCCCATAACGTCGGCTTCTTTCTGGGATGGCTTTGATCATGCTGTTGATTTTCTGTAACTTTGTGGCTATTCGATGCCTCACCCATAGATTCTTTGGGGCGTAGACTATCTGACGGAGGAACCTTGTGAATTTACCATGTACTTTTTGCTTGTTCATGTAATACATGTATTCGTCTATAATATCTTCAACCTCGTAGGCCAAGTCTCTAACATTGGCCACCCAAGTCTTCCCTCCTTCAGTTTGGACTGTTGTTTTATCGGCATCCTCCAGAAAAGATCTCATGCTTGCGAACTCGAGCTTCAGTTGGTTGAGTTCATCGCGTACTCCTCCAATCAACGATGCTTCGCTCTCAAGGGCGGAAACTATTCTGCCAATCAAAAGTCCCACGGCAGCCAAGGCCATGTTAGCTTTCTACCTCCCTCCCCCTCTTACTTCTTGGCACCCTGGTCTCTCTTGTCTTGAAGATGAGTAGTTTGTAATATGTACCTGGTTTGTAATATGAATACTTTCTTATATTTTGGCTTTGGTTCATTTGTCACATCATTACATATGGGGGACCTACACATGGACCATACCTGCTAAACATTGTTGACAATTGTTTCTCTATCACTGAGAGCTCGTTTGGCATAAAAAAAAAAAAAAAGTTAAAAGTTTTTTTAGTTAAAATAGTCATATGATAGGCTTTTTAGCTTAATAAGACAAAACATCACATTCAACTCATAATTATTTAATTTTTTCTTTGAAAAAAGTCAAAAAGTCTATCTCAAACGAGACTTTTTAGCCCCAAACTAAAATAGCCAAAAAACTAAAAAATCAATCCACATCCCAAACGAACCCTTATTTTTATATTATCATGTTACATTATATGGTAAGATATTATTAATTTTTAATTATTTATTAATTATTTTAATACAAGAAAATCAATTATACATAGAAAGTGATATAAAACAGTAATAATAAAAATAAAAATAAAAAAGAAGCTGAAATACACCATTTTTCTACATTATTTTGGTGTCACATATATGAATATATGTGGAGAAATCATAAAAAAATCATCACTTTTATTCTTTTCTTTTTTTAGTTTTATGTACATTTGTAAAAGTTATATTGAAATATATATAAATAAATAAATAAACTATATAAAAGTACCTGGGCCACTTGTTCAAGTCTATGCCTCTGTAGCTTTTGCTTTAATGTGTGGCAGATATGTATGAGTTACCGGGCTTCGATAGAAATCTCCTCCAATCACCACTCTTATCCCTTTCTTTCACACACACGTGACAAGTGGTAATTGAAAAAAAAAAAAATCTGACCAATGAGAGAGAGGGAGGGTCAAGGGTGGGGAAAAAAGGTGTTTATTCTTTTCTTTTCTTTTCTTTTTTTAGTTTTCTGTACATTTGTAAAAGTTATATTGAAATATATAAAATGACCGGATCGTTTTCCATTGGGGTACCTGGGCCACTTGTTCAAGTCTATGCCTCTGAAGCTTTTGCTTTAATGTGTGTGTGTGGAAGATATGTACAAAGCACCTGGGTCACTTGTTTGTTTGGTTTTTTTTGGACCTAGTCCTTGGACTTGCACAACGTTATTTCGAAAAATTCTACTAATGCCGAAAAATTGTTAAAGAAAATTATCATGATAGGTTAACTGTGGTTGAATTGAATTTAAATTATACATTGATATTTTTTTAAAATTTAAATATATTATTAGAGCTGAAATATTTACAAGCCTAGCAACGGATCCATGTGACGCACATTGTAATTTAGAAAGAAAAAGAGAATTAAAAAATTGCATATAAAATTTTCATACATAAAAATCATATAAAATGATGGGTCTCTATCATTGTTGCCAATCTAAGACACAATGAAAGTTGTTTTGTCTTGAATTGAAAAGGATCACAAAAAATCACATTATTCTTTATATTTTTTATCAGCAGGATTAAGATCGGCTTTGATTTTTTCGGATCCCAAAGCAAACTTTTAACACGACCCTTTCATACATATTTTTTTTAAAAATAATTATGTGCTACATTTTTTTTTTGGGTATTTGACAATATTCGTAAAAAAATTACTTCCAATATATATATATATATATATGTATGTATTAAAATTTGAGCAAAATATACATTAAAATTTACAATAAGAAAAATGACCAAAATAATTCAAATTGAAATATCAAACAAAAAGTAAACAAACTGTAAAAAAATCACTTAAACATTATTCTCCTAGCATTTTTAACTATAAAATTACTAATTTAGTTTGCATAATTCAACTTATAGGCTAAATAATTTTTGATGGATAAAATTGCTAATTCATTTAATCTTTCATTTGACATAGTGAAGTAAATGTAAGATTTAGACACTATTTGACATCCCTTACAAAAGTGCATATTTTTCTCTTTTTATTTTATTTTATTTTATTTTTTGTCACATTACCTCTCCATTTTTTGTATATTTTTCATAAAAAATCAAAAAATATACTTTTTAAATCATTTCAAACACCCTCTTAGGCCTCGTTTGGCATGCCCCTATTTTAGCCTAAAAGTCAAAAAATTACTAAAAAAAGCCAAAAAGTTGATGTGTTTGGTTTGTGTTTTGAGATAAATTTCCAAAAATAAAAAAATAAAAAAAAATTGGGGAGAGAGTTTAGAAATTTTTTTATTTGTTTAGTTGTATATTTTGAAAATAGTTTTGAAGTTTGAAAGTTTAGGATGATTTGATATTTTGTTCTAGCTGAGTAGATGTGTGTGAGAGAAAAAGTGATTGAGAGAGAGAGAGAGAGGAGAAAGAAAAAGTGATTGATTGATGTGTAGGAAAGAGAAAGTGATTTTGAAAAAAAAATTCAAAAAATTTTAACCTAACAAAATTTTGAAATTTTTTCTCAAAAATTGTATCTTGAGATACAAACCAAACAAGTAATTTTATCCTATACACCTATCGTATGTTGCAATTACGTGATCTGTGGCCTTAGCAGTGGTCAAATGACCTTTTTACCCCTTTTTTTGTTTTTTTTTTAAAAATATGTGTTCATTTTCTCATATCACCGAAGCTAATATAGTTGACATGCTGCAATAATTTCTGCTGCATCACTTCACCTGACAACATGTCACATGAAATCACATGGTCACAGATTGAACAGCAATATTGAAGGGCAAAAATGTCAATTTACTCTTTTTTATTTTATTTATATTATTTTGTTATAATCAACTTTAATTCACAAAGACTAACTCCAAGTAATATAACCAATCGTTGTTAAGTTATATACGACTGTCCTGTGTAGTTAGTGCTTTACAGACAACCAATAGATGCTTGACACATCATTTCAAATATAAAAAATAGTAAAATAGTCCTTTAATTTGAAGAAGTTATTGGTTGATTTTGGAGTACCGCCGCATGATACTCAATAAAATTATAATTGATAGAGAAAGTAGAGTCTATAAATTTATATTGACTGTTTAGAAAATATGAAAGGCATAATAAATTGGAATTAGGGATGCTATTGCCTGGACTGCGCAACAGTAACCATTGTGAAGTGAAATGGGTCCATTTTGGGGTCCATTTCGATAATCTGAACCGTTCATATTTTAGAATATATCAAGTAGAACATATTTGCAAAAAATCAAATTAGTCGGATATCATTTACCCATTTAATCACTTACATTTGTACTCATTTCAATACTTTAAGTCACAATTATTTTTTATTTTTATAAATACAAATGTGAGTGGATGAATAGATAAATGATATCTGAATACTTAATTTTTTACAAATATATTTTATTTGATATATTCTAAAATATCAATAGTTTGAATTATCGAAATGAATCTCAAAATAGGGTAATTATTCAGTACTCCCGGAATATGGACACGTGGTGCTCCATAATGTTTTGATTGGTGGAGAGGCGTAAGGGCCCATAATTTATATTGGAGATAAGGAAACAACATGAAGACAAGTAATTGATGATTGACTTAAAATATGACTACGAGATGCTCTAGGAATATTAAATAATTTCCTCTCAAAAGGAAAATGCGTGAGAGCTCGAATGTGTAGAGCTCGTACGGCTCGAAAATATTATCTTACCGGTAAGAGAATCAAAAAACACCCAAAAACGACGTCGTTTTGAGATTTTGAGCCATTCGAGCCATTTGATTTTCAAGCTACGTAGCAGTGTCGTTTTTTAATATAACAACTCAAATAAAAATTCATTACATCTTTCAAACACAAAAATAAAAATAACCTACTAAAATAACTAAATAACCAAAAATTTTAAAAAATAGCCACTTTCCAAACACTCACTTTGTGTTTTTGGCGTTGGTGCAAATGTCACACAACATCATAGGGATCAAGATGGCGCCTATGATTTCAAAAATCTCCGTAAATCTCCGTTACTATAGTAATATTAATTACAATTTAATTATAATTATTTCCAAATTATAGAGATTGATCTTTTTTAAGTGGTTGCTCCTCTATATTTATAAAATATTGAATCAAAGTGTAAAATTAAAAATAAAAATAAAAAATTAGACAAAGTGTAATAAAATTAATAATTTTTTATAACTACCATAGCAAGTCCTATTTTAAGATAATAAAACAAAAGAAAATTGCAAATACATGGAGCAGTGGGAAAACAATTCTACTACAAATAAAATTTTTTTTTTGGTGCAACATTGACACACTGGAAAAGTTGCCCAAGCACATGAATGAATTTGTACCATGCACACAGTAAAGTTGCATCATCATGAAAATGTAAATAATTTTTGACTATCCCATTGATTTGATATTTTCCCATAAAATAAGGTATTAGTTAGTTATTTAATCATGTTTATTGAGGAAGATATTATGCAGTATTTTAAATTGATTCTATTATAGATGCTTTCAATTAGGGTTGTTCAAAAATCCGTTCAAACCGGTAATCCGAACCGAAGCAGACCAAATCGTACAGTTTGGTTCTATTAAGAATTGGTTCGGTTTCAGATTAATAAATATGAGAACTGTAAAAACGGTTCGGTTAATAAATTTTATGAAAAAATCACGGTTCGAACCGAACCGAATTTAAAAGATATATATATATATAATATCAAGTTTTATTTTTATTAATTGGTTTTTTGTAATTTTAATGATATTAGGATGATATAGATATGTAATGTTGAATAATGCCTTAATATTATTAGTTTTTATCATGAGTTAAATGTAATTAATTTGAGTAATTATTTTGCTAATATTAACAATTTATTCTTGTAAATAGAAATTTTTGGATCCGTAAACCAAACCGAAACCGAACCGTTATTTCGGTTTGATTTTGGTCCGGTTTTACAAATGTAATGGTCTAGTCTGGTCTAGTTCTTAAAATCACAGGACTGTTAGGATCAATTTGGTTCTTGAATTTTCTCAGAACCGAACCAATCCAAACCGTGTACAGCCCTACTTTCAATGACATGAAAGAGCGTTAAAGATAACTTAAGATACCTACCTC